AAGTCAATATTTAACCAGGTGTTGTTTAATGAGGAAACAATACTGTTTCACAATAATGTGTGTGGTGGAGAAGTAATCCTGCAGCCACACTGACCTAAATTGGTGGAAAGTTACTGTCAGAGCTGGTTAGCAGCCACCATAGCCCACCTTTCCTACGGGTTCATCCCTCACATTTAACACGCTGGTCTGCTTGGAATTCCAAGCTGTGCACAGCAGAGGCGATGATAAGGTGAACAGAGACTTCGTGCAATGCCTGTCAGAAGACATCGGACTAAAGTTATTTTTAAAAAAAAAGGAAAAAAAAGAAAAAAGAAAGAAAGATCCACGTGCATTTTATTGGCATGTCACAGTCTGCTGTGGAAGTCAGTGGTGGGAAATGCAACGGTTGTAGTTTGAGGGTTTATGTGACAGGGAACTAGGCCAAATCTGATAATGTTGACTCAAGCGATATCACTAAGGCTCAGAAAAGTGTGAGGATGCAGATTGGGGGAGTTAAAAAGAAGTGATCCCACTTAGCGGATCAGACAGCAGTGGTCGGAGACTACAGCACAACCAGAATTATTGTGCAATGAACTTGCAGTCTCTTTGCCTTTGATATGGCCACTTCAAAGATTGAGACCTGATTTTGAGAACTCATGTGATCAACTTTGGTCCTCAATTTGGCATTGAAACACCAATAAGGCAGAGTCCATCTGCCATCAGTTTACAGCTTAATGTAACCATGCTGGCTATTCAATCTAATTTAAATAGTACCATATCACAGCTGTCACTTCAAGGTGCTTTTAAGTAGATCCCCAAAAATAATACAGAAATCCCAACAGTCAGAGGAGCCCTAATGAGCAAGTTCTTGGCGACAGTGAGAAGGAAAAACTCCCTTTTAACAGGAAGAAACCTCGAGCAGAACCAGGCTCAGAGAGGTGCAGCCATCTGCTGTGACCGGCTGGGGGTGAAATGACAATAAGTTTGAAATTCTTCCACATAGTGTGACATGGTTGCTGCAGGAATGCAATTGAACTACAAAATGACAAAGTGGCTTGGCAACTTTGCTTTTCATGTGAGAGAAACAAGAATAGAACCAGTTGAGTCGAGTCTCCTGCTGCAAGAAGTCATCACAGATGAGTTGAGCCCATCAGGGTAAATCTCAGAGTGATTACGATGTGCTGGAAATCTGTCCGCGCTTTTAAATTAGAGGGCAGTTACTTGGAGAACGTCACCAATTTGAGTGATTGCAGTCAGAGCCATAAATCAAGAACTCAAACCTCACTAACAAACACCAAACATCATCAAACGTCAGTTACTTGCTAACTAGCTAGCGCTGACGAACGTTCCCTCCCTTCTAATTGCTATAAATTGGTTGTTGATCCCTTCCACTACATAACCAAGATGGTGTTTAAAATGCATTTAACAGGTTAAAATAAAGAGGTAGTTTAGGGTCATTTATTTTTCTCCTCCCCACATATGCAACTGACACACGCAATCCACAACCATGTCCATGAACGTCAGAGTAGGGCTGCTCAATTAATCGAATTTTAATCACGATTACGATCTGGGCTTTCAACGATCATTAAAAATGACTGAGCCGATTATTAGCCCCTCCCTCATTTATCCGCGACACCTTAAAGGTCGGT